ATGATAGAGGTTGGGTCCTTTATGTGTTTTGTGTGTATTCCATTTGACATTGAAATTGCATACTTCGGCTCCTTTGGCCATTATGCATCGAAATGCGTGATTGGTGGTCCGAAGACCGAGGGCCACACTCCCTTGAGTCCATAACATGATGGGGAGGGTGATCGTGCAACATTTTGCATTGAAAATCCTATGCCATGCACTGTCTGTCCTTTTTTGCAGCAAAACCAGTGTTCTGTAGGAAGAAATGGCCGGTCGGCTACTTGCAGTGCCGACCGACCACCAAAATCCAGCCGGTGGCTTCATTAATGGTCGATGACCTGTTACAGATGGTTGGTGGCATTTTCATTTGTTCAATGACCTCTCAGCATGTCTCTAAGGCAGTTCAGAAGTGTCATAGAGGTTGGCACTATTTTCAGAGATGCAAAACAGTGCAGACAGAGGCAATTGTGTCATGGCAATGGATTTCCGGGCGAAGCCAATCCGAGCATGCGTGCATCCCTCTTCCCGAGGCCTTTTACTGCTTTCCATAGCTTAGTTAATTTGTTTAATTAGTTAAGTGTTACGTAATATTTAATCAGCTAGGTTAGTTAATTATTTATTCGGACCCTCCGAGCGAGGGCAATTGTGTAATAAGTGTACGTGAGTGTGTGTATGTCTTCCAACTCCACGTCTTTCTCCCTTTTATTTACCTGCTTTCAGTGATTAGTATTAGGGCATATTTCAATTAGCATACTTATGCTTCGCATGTTTGCATCCATTCATCCGTATTGCATGCACCAGACTCGGCGCATCATACTAACCGCATAGTATTTCGATTCCAAATTGAATACATGTATCAAGTTGCATTTCACATGACATCTTAGAATAGCCGAGCCTATTTCTAGCTGCATTTTGCATGTGTTGCATTAGCCATCTTAACATGAACTAGGATCATGCATTTGATTACTAACTAGTTTCTGTTTTGGCTCGGAGTACTCAGTAAGTGTTTATGCTTTAGCATCTTGCATGCGTGTAAGTGTTTCCATGATAGCATGCTTACCAGGAGGCTAACTGCACGTGATATAACTGCCTGAATGCCTGTGGGTGAAGGTTGGATTGTTTGAATTGGAATAATTCATTGAAATCCGTGATTTAGCCTACTTGCGAGTAGCAAACTTTAAACCCTTTTCCAAACAAACGGATATGCAATGCTTTGTTCCAAATTAGGCGATCTAGTCTATACTTGTTTTGCTGTGCGCATTACATAGTAATTCTAGCTAATTAATTGGAATAAGAACGCATGTGTTTTCAAAAACAAGATATCATGGTTAGTAGAGGCCGATCTTTGATCGGGCGAGCGGGGGTGCTCACGAAGTAACCTTCCCCAATCGTACCTAAGTTCTCGAGCCGAGGTAACTTTGGTGATGACGGGCACGTGGCCTTGGACAACGAGTCAGGGTTTCCTAAATTTCTCAAAATAAAATATTTAGGTGGCGACTCTGTATCTGGCAAAGCAGTCCATGTTTGGCACTTCTTTCTAAAAATCTGTTTTCCAAAACGATTTGCCAGATTTGGACTCTTTGGTGATTTATCAGTCTTGCATTGCACTTTGTGAGATCAGATTAAGAACCGTGACATTGAGTCCGAACTGTAGTGACCCCAAATGAACAAAACGGTGGGGTTCTCCCCCGGGACATTCGAGGATGTCTACAGTTTCTGGCGACTCTACTGGGGAGTTTAGAGAGCTTGACTCGAACTCATGATATTTTGTTTTGATTACACTCATGTGTTTTTTTGCATTGCATGTGCATTTGTGCGCCTAGGACACAGCGTTTGCCATATTCTATTCCTGAACAGTTTGTCGGAGGCTCGCTTTGAAGAGCGTGCCATAAAGCTGACCGGTTACGGGCTCTGCCACGATGGGAACACAAACCTCGATTTTCACCGGGGCACCATTTTTGACCATTCGACCTGGTGCATATCGAAATCCGTAAGCTAGGACTGGTTGCTTACCCGATTATAGGTTGTTTGAAACCGCTGCGTGCGTAGTGAAACCCTAGCTCCTGACAAAATAGGACAGGGAAACCTTACCCCAACATAGGGGTGTTTTGGCTCTCACTTGTTTGCTATGTGCTTTAGAGTTGGCCTCTACAGGGAATGCATGTATCAGTTTGCAAGTTTGGGTATCAAGCCTGTAGGCATCAGCATCAGTATCAGTATTTTGGGGGAATCAGTTTTACCTGAGGGTATCGGTTTACAGGTAGAATTTGGGGCAGAATTCAGTAAAGAGTCAAATCTGTTTTGGCGAAATTGGGCTGAGATGCTCTTTGTTTTCTCTTTTGCTAGGGGTAGTCCTTGAATCATAGCTTTAGAAGGCTCTAATATCCCCCGAGTACACCGGACTTGTGTTGATAGACTTTGTCAGGTCAGAGACTCAGTTCAAGGGCAATTAGAGCCAGAGAAGGCTAGTTAGGCGCAGACAAGGTTTAAAAATGCGGTGTTACGTAACGGTTTCGGCCGTTACGTAACGATTTCGGTGGTAGGCACTACACGTTGCCCCCGATTTTGCGATGTGATTGAAATTCACAGATGTATCGGCCGTTATGGCCGTCGTAGCGGTCGTAACGGTGATGTAACGGCCGTAACGGCCTGTTACGAACGTTACAGGGCATCTTTAGCTGATTCTTTTCAAAAAAAAACAAAAGAAAAAGCTAAAAAGGCTGAAGATTGATGTCCGATACACATCCACAAATTTTCAAAAGAAAAAACAAAAGAAATAGATGTACATACCTTTAGCTTTCGTCTTTTGCCTTTACAGCCCATGAACCATTTTCAATTGAAGTGAGATTCCACAAATTTTCAGATCTGAAATGCGAATGAGTGAGAAATAGAGAGAGAGAAGAGAGAAGAGGGAAGAGGGAGATGGAAGAGATGAACCTCTCTGCTAGCTTGATCTTGCCTTTGTTAGCTTGATCTTGCCTTTGTGCTGATCTTGCCTTTGTTAGCTTGATCTTGCCTTTGTGCTGAACAATAGTAAGTCCAGAGTTTGATCTTGCCTTTCTTTATCAAATTTTATTTGCTCAGTAGCCTCTCTCTAGCTTCGTGGGGAAGATAAGCACTGCCCCTTTCTTTATCAAACTGTTGACTTCACAGATAAGCATTTGTTTCCTTGTGGTCTCCAACTGGCCAAGATTATTTTATTTTATTTTATTTTTATTTTTTTTAAACAATGATTTCAGATTTTAAATTTCATAAAATCTATAAAATTTATGTGATATATTTAATAATTTTAATTTAAATATATATATAGAGCTATACACTTATTTTTAGTATTTTATATATATTAATTAGTGATTGATTATTTTTTTTATAATATCTAAAAATCATAACACATTTAATTATATGAATACATTTTATATATGTCAGTTTTTATTGATTTTTTTTTCTTGCAGGTTATTCAAAAAGATAACAAATACTCAAGTGATTGAAGCCCCAAAATCACGAACTATGTTGAATTTTTTTCTTTTATAATTTATTTTTTAATTTTTATATGATCACATTACATGTAAACTCCAAATGTATAAAGAGTAGTTACATTTTTTTATAATCATTTCATTTAATATTTAATTATATATTTTTTATTTTGTTATTGTAATATGTTGTGACAACAATGTTGAAATCACTATTTTTTTTTAAATATCTTTTTTAAAAAAAATCAATACCTCAAAAAAATTATTTATAATTTATTTTTTAATTTTTATATGATTATATTAGCATGTAAACTCCAAATGTATAAATAGTGGTTGCATTTTTTTTATAATTATTTCATTTAATATTTAATTATAAATATTTTTTATTTTGTTATTGTAATGTGTTGTGACAACAATGTTGAAGTCACTATTTTTTTTTAAATATCTTTTTAAAAGAAAAAAAATCAATACCTCAAAAAAATTATTTATAAATTTATTTTTTAACTTTTATATGATTATTTTAGTATGTAAATTCCAAATGTATAAATAGTGGTTGCATTTTTTTGTAATATTTCATTTAATGTTTAATTATAAATATTTTTTATTTTGTTATTGTAATGTGTTGTGACAACAATGTTAAAGTCACTATTTTTTTTAATTATCTTTTTAAAAGAAAAAAAATCAATACCTCAAAAAAATTATTTTATAATTTATAATTTATTTTTTAATTTTTATATGATTATATTAGCATGTAAATTCCAAATGTATAAATTGCGAAAACAACACACCCAGTAGTTAGGCTAAAAGGTAAATGTAAGGAATTCAAGTTACAACCGGCTTACTTGGGCTTGTTTGGCCCTAGTTGCTTTGGCCTTTACATGGTTTGGTCCTGAGTTGAATTTGGACCAAGCCTGACAGTAAGCTAATAACATGTATGGTCCAATTAGTTCCTCCAGTTTTAAGATTAAAAGGAAACCTTAAAAAGATATATATATATATATATATAAATTTCTTCATAATTCTTTTATTTTAAAAAAAATTCTCTATGAGATTTTAATTGTTCCTTTAGGCACAACAAATTTTTTATTTTTAACAGAATGGAAAAGGTTCATTTGTGTATTTTACAAATAATTGTACATTTTAAAAAAAAAAATCTATGCGTAGAATAATTTTAAAATTCTTAACAAAAAACACACTCTTAACAAAAGTATTTTTCATTTCATTTAAGTTATGCAGAATAAAGTAAAGGTCACATGTTGCTTTCAAGTCACAGTTGACAATGAGTCATATTAATAATTATATACGAATTTTACACTTTTAATAAATGCACGAGATTAGCACCCTTAATTACCAATGAGTCATGTTAATTTTTTTTATAATCATTTCATTTAACATTTAATTATAAATATTTTTTATTTTGTTATTGTAATGTGTTTGTGACAACAAATTTTTTTTAATGACGAAATTTGTTATTATAATGTGTTGTGACAATAAATAGTGGTTGAATTTTTTTATTTTATTTTTTTTGTAATGCAGAATTCAAATTCAAAAATGTCACGACAAAAGGGTGCCAATGATGAACCCCAAAGTGATGATATTGGTTGGAAATTTGGAACTCAAGTTGAAGGCACTAGACATCATATTATTTGCAAATTTTGTGGACATCACATTAAAGGTGGGATTACGCGTTTCAAACAACATTTAGCACATCAAACAGGACAAGTGCATTCTTGTCCTAATGTTAGTAGAGACGTGAGGCAAGAAATGATGAAACATTTACAAAATAAGAAAATGAGTAAAGCAGACAAACAAAAGAGAAAAGCTGAATTGGAAGCACATATTAAAGGAGATGATCTTTATGATGAGGATGAAGGGGGAGATTTTGTAGATCTTCGAGATGATGACTTTGACTCTGATCCAGAGATGACTAGGGCTCGACAAGCAAGTATTCGTTCACAACAACAATGGGAGGAAAGGCAACAATTTAGACGAGGTGTTGCAGGTCATGGATCACAATACGATGCAGGTAGTAGTTCTGGTGCAGGGGGTAGTGGTCAAAGATTGCCTAAAGGGTCAGGTATTGCTAATGTTTTTCGTCGATCACAATCCGTGCGTGAAACTGGTGGGAGTGGACGTAATTGGATTAAGCCCAATGCTTCTGAAACAAGGTTGAGAGCAATGGATGTAGAACTCCAAAAGAGCAAGAGTACAAAGCAACGAAAAATCTCTACAATGAATTTACAAAAGTTAAAAGAGAGATTGGGACGGGCAGTGTCCAAGTTTATACTCTATAATCGTATTCCATTCAATGCAGTTGCTTCAGAGTATACACAACCCATGCTTGATGTTGCTGCTGAAGTAGGGCCAGGAGTAAAGGGTCTTAGTGCTTATGAAGTTTCTGAAGTATATTTGGGCATGGAGTATGATGAAATGACAGAATGGATAGGATCATTTAAGGGAATTTGGGAAGAGAGAGGTGTATCCATCATGTGTGATGGTTGGAGCAGTCTAACTCGGCAACACATCATCAACTTCTTAGTGTACTGCAATAGAGGTACTATATTTCACAAATCAATTGATGCCTCTAATATTGTTAGTAAGACTGCTGAATATTATTTTGGGTTGTTAGATAAAGTTGTTGATGAAATTGGAGAACAATACGTTGTTCAAGTGGTAACTGATAATGAACTTGCATTGAAAGCTGCCGGTAAAATGTTAATGAGAAAAAGGAAACATTTATATTGGACAGCTTGTTCAGCACATTGTATCGATCTCATGCTAAAAGACATAGCCAATAAGAAAAGTGTAGCAAAGGTGATTGAAGATGGTAAAACCATCACCAATTTCATTTATAATAGTGGATGGGTGTTGGATTTAATGAGAAAATTCACTGGAGATAGAGAATTGATTCGACCTGCCATCACTCGATTTGCTACAAATTTTATTGCCATTGAGAGTATTGTTAGATATAAACAACAATTGAGAGCTATGTTTAATAGTGATGAGTAGAAGAATTCTAGATGGGGGAAGGCAAAGACTGGGCAGCCTTACAATGTGAAAAAATTTATTTTGGGAAAGGAGTTTTGGCAGAAAGCAACAGAACTTTGTAAAGTTCATGAGCCCCTAGTCAGAGTATTGAGGTTGGTTGATGGGGATGAGAAGCCAACAATGGGTTTCATATATGAAGCTATAGATAGAGCAAAGTTGGCAATTAAAAGAGATTGTCGCTACTATACCGACTATTGGAAAATTATTGATACTCGATGGTCTTTTCAATTGCATCAAGATTTGCATGCGGTTGGTAAGTGTTACGATTTCAATTATAAAATGTATATTTATTTACAATTATTAATTGTCTTCTTATTTTTGAAGGATATTTTTTAAATTCTCAATTCCAATATGGTGTTATCTCATCCAATGAAATGATAAGAGAAGTGATGGATGGACTTAAAAAAGTCATTACCAGACTGGAGCCTGATATGGATGCTCAAGTGAAAGCAACAAATCAAGTACGTACCAATTATTTAAATTTTAATAGTAATAATCTACTTTTGCACATGTTACTTGTAATGATTGTCCAAATTGTAGTTGTTGCTGTTTCGAGATAAACAGGAAACTTTTGGCACTCCTTTAGCGCAAAGAGCATGGAAACAATCAAATTCAGGTTTTATTTGCAAAATTACAAATTTACAATATATAAATACTTAAATAATTTTCTATCATATTTTGACTTATGTCTAGTGTAATGTAATTTTGTGCAGCTGAGTGGTGGATTATTCATGGCAGTTGTGCTCCTGAACTTCAAAAAATAGCTGTGAAAGTATTAAGTCAAACCACTACATCATCTCATTGTGAACGTAATTTGAGTACTTTTAGTCTCATCCATACGAAGACAAGGAATAGATTGAAATATAAGAAAATTCAAAGATTAGTCTTCATCACCTATAACATGAGATTAAAATTGAGACATGTTAAAAGAAGCAGCCAAGAGGAGATTGATAGGAGTTTTAATCCTATTAACTTGGATTAGATATTTGAAGAAGATGATCCAATAAGTCCATGGATAGAAGAAAGGAAAAATCCTTTACTAGATGGTGTGGATAATTCTGAATGGCTAGATTTGGTCTCAGATGATGGTGGTGGTGGCGGCGACAACGACAGCAATGGCGATGGCAGCGATGGAAACGGTGGTGGTGGCACCCATAGATATCAAGCTCGACGCACTTCTCAAAGCTCAACTCCTACTCCAACTCAAAGTGATAATAATGGTGGTTTAACACCATCTGATGGAGGAGGTGATGATGGTGATGGTGATGGCACTTCTCACGGTGACGGTGGTGGCGGTGGCGGCGACAATGGTGGTGATGGCGGTGATGGTACTAGTTTTGGTGCAGGAAGTGAAGATTTTATTGGAGGATTTGGATTATGTGATGTTGGGGAACATTATGATATTGGAGAACCTGTTGCACCTTTACCCCAACTACCTAGGAGGTTTCGTGGTAGTGATACCCGTAGGGATGAAAGAAGAATAAGAAGTAGAGAACAACAGCTTGATTCATCTGATAGTAGTCATAGTTAGCCATATCACCCTTATCCATCCTATAGCACTGATAGCCAGAGCTATCCTTACCCACCTCAACAAAATTATCTTTGGCCCCCTCAACAGCATGGTCCTCTAGGATACGGTTTGCCAAATTATCAACAAACTCAAGAAGGGTATGTTGATCCTTTTCAGCCAAGGTATCCATTTTCTCTCCCAATGCATGAAACAGAAAGGGATGACATGATGAGCACATTTACTTATATACTTCCTACTGGATGGACTGAAGGTAGTAGCAATCAAGCTCAACAATCTGATTCCCAAGATGCACCACGTCACTCATTTTGGTGGGGTAAAGGTAGCAGCAACAATCAAGCTCAACAATCTGAATCTCAAGATGCACCACGTCACTCATTTTGGTGGTGACATTATGTAATTTTAGTAGTAACATTGTGTAAAATGTACTATATGTTATTTGTGATTTATGCTATGATGTTATGTACTTTGTCAAGTTCTTCCATTATGGATGTATACTTTTTTAAAACTATTTGAGTTAAAATGTACATATGCTTCCACAAGTATAATAATTAAAAATAATTTTATACATCTAAGTCCAATAAAAGAAATTTTTTCCACAAGTGTAATATAGATTAATAACATATAAAGTCATTAATTATTGAAATAAAATGTAAAAAAAATCATTTTCTAGTGATTTAAAAATATGAAATATATTGGATCATACTTAAAAATTATGAAAAATTTATCAAAATTTATTTTAAAACCCAATAAATATGATTATAAAAAAAAATATGCGTATCGGTAAATTTTTTACAAATTGTGCGAAAAATAAAAAAATTCACAGTTCCGGTAACCGCAACCGTTACGCTGCGGCCTTTACACCGCGCAACCGCAACCGTTACAGCGACCGCAACCGCTTTTCAGAACCTTGGGCACAGACCACCAATGCAGCAACTACCAGATCAATGGTCTTAGAGCAGTCGGGTTGAGATTTCCGAGCCTACTGTAGAGACAGATATACCGGTAGTTCAGTCAGATTAGGGCAGTAAGGCAGGAATGGAGGAAATGATGCGTCAACTCCAAGAGAGCATGAAAACCATGCAGCAGGATGCTGCTTGTCAAGCGGAATTTGCCAAACAGCAGGCTGCGATCATGGCCCAACAGGCAGAGCTAATCACCAGGTTACAACAGCAAGCCGGAGCATCTGCTTCGCACTAAGCTCCTCCCCCACCAGTAGATCCAATACCCGAGGAGACGCCAAATGTCTAGGAAGGTACGGACATTCCGACAGGGCCGACTCCGCCCCCAATTTTACCCCAGCTATCTAAAGCACCAATCAACCTACCGGACTCTCCCTTTGAGATCGAGGTAGACCATACGGCGTTAAAGTTGAGCAAGCTTGAAATGTTGTTCAAGAAATCCCAGAGGGTAAAGTCCATCCCGGACATTGAGGACGGGTACACCGACGCAGCTGTGACACTGCCAGATAGGTTCAAGATACCAAAAATTGACCGCTTTGACGGATCCGGGGATCCCATGGTACATCTACGGTTGTTCTCAGACATACTACAGCCGATGGGCCTCACCAGACTACAAAAGATTTCATTATTTGGCCGGACCCTGTCGGGTGTGGCGGCCATTTGGTACGCAAAATTAGAAGATGATGTCAAGAGGAATTGGGATGAGATGGCCGAGGCCTTCGCTGCACAATACTCGTATAACACGTAAATCGAGATTACGACCCGTGATCTTCAGACGACGAGGCAAGAGCCTAAGGAGAGCTTCTTAGAATTCGTGGCCCGCTGGAGGGCCAAAGCCTCAATGATGACCATTAGGCTAACAGATAAGGATCAAATACGGATGGTTGTGCGCAACCTCCAGCCCAAACTAATGCAAAAAATGATCGTGCTCCCCTTCCCTACCTTTTTAGATTTGCATGAGATGGGGGTACAGATCGAGGATGCCATGAAGCAGAGCCTTATTGACTAGGAGAAGGAGCAGCCTAGGCGGGCGTTTTCCCGCAATTCAAATGTGACCACCAGCGGTGATGCAGTTGCAAGATCTTCTGAAGTGGGCATGGTTACCGCCACCACATCAAAAAAAGCTACCCCATTCACCGGTGCGTCCGGAAGTAGCTCACAGAAAACCAAATATCCACCTCAAGTCAAGAGGGTTTTTACCCCACTTTATATACCTTTGTCAAAGGCTCTAGAGGTCTTAATCCGGAAAGGACATCTGAAACCATTGGAACAACGGCCTTTACCTGATCCTCTCCCTCTAAAGCATGACCAGACTAAGCACTGTGCGTACCATCAACAAACCGGTCATGAGACCGATAGCTGCCTTCGTCTGCGCCATGATGTACAAGATGTGTTTGACAACAAGGTCATTGCCGCACCAGTCTAGCAAAGTCTATCGTCATTGGATCAGTGAACTTGTAGGGGATAATGTAATTATGTGATCAGGGGATGAACCACCTGCGGATGGCGCTCAGTTTACTTCGGATGTAGCGTTTGGCACGCACTATTTTGAGCATTTGCGAATGCTAGTTTTGTAGTTTCTGACTTGGGTGTTGAGTCAGTTCTGTTGTTTTGTTTTGAGTTTGTCTCTTTGTCCTGAGTCAGTTGGGTCTGTCTTGTTGTACTGAGTCAGTCCTGTTTTGTTGGAGTCGGGTGATTTCGGGGGTGTTACCTCGGACATCACTTGCTTTGTTTTGTGTTTGTCTTTTCGTTTTCTTTTGAGTCTGTTTCTGCCTTGGAGCTAGTTACACCAGAAGATTTGAATGAACAACAATGATTTTCACACTCTTGTGTTTGCTTCTGCCTTGTGCTAGTTATACCAGAAGTTCTGAATGAGATGGCAGTATCTGACTAAAAATTGTGTCTTTTCTGTGCTTTGAAATCATTACATTGACCTGAGTTTTTCAAAACTTTTTTTAACACTACGGTAAAAATGAAGAGGAAAGAATTCCTCGGGTTTTGCAAAACTTGATCAATTGAGAGAAAGACAGGTGTGCTAAGCGCTTAATGAATAAGATCATGCTTGTTAATGTGAGTACTGAGAAGGATCCTAGCTTGATCCAGATTGGTTCTACACTGTCTTCAGCGCGAGCGATTTGTCGCTTTCTTAAAAAATTTCAAAAAATATTTTGCGCAGTCCTGCGAAGACTTGTGCAGAATCGCTCTTGAGATTGTGCAGCCTAGGATCGCTCTCAGCCTCAAGATTCAACCCCTTTGCTCTCAAAAACCTTAAACTTGGGATCAGAATGATCAATGGTCAACCATCAATGTGAGGCCTGTGTGGCCAGATTTAAAGCAGCCCTCGAACAAGAGGCACCAAAGTCAGATCAAGAAGATTAGATGTCGTCAGAAGAAGCTTGCGAAGCTAAAACAGAAGCGCCCCTCGAACTAGGGGCAAAAATGTCCGATGTGCTCGAAGAGTCGAAGATGGATCTTTCTGTAAATCAATACAACAGCCACTCTCCTGAATACGGATGGCTTCAAAACCCTAAAACCATTTGGCATGGACTTGTTACACTTTTACCCTTTGAGAGGCTCGCTGGGCTGAAAACCCGGAAGGGCTACCCAGGCAAAAGTTAGAGCAAGAGAAAAATACAAAAAAAAAGAGAAAAAATGCAAAAGAAAAGAGAAGAGAAAAGATGAAAAGATTTGAAAAAGAAAAGACAAAAAAAATGAAAAGAAAAAAAAGAGAAGAATTGAAAAGAAAAGAAAAACAAAGCTCGCAATGTTGAAAACCCAGAAGGGCGGCCTTGGCAAAAGTTAGAGCGTAAAAAAGTGAGGGTTAATACACGAGTTTACCTTAACCTGAACTACTTATGGCTTGATTTTCATGTTTGGGATACATAGGCAACTTCATCTTGAAGTCCAGCCACAAACACTTCGAATTCGACTATGTCCATGTGATGGTTCTGGTCATCTTCTGTATCCGAGAATTTGGTTGTGTTCGTCACTCTGAGGACTGACTACAATGCGCTGCGGTGCCATTCAAACAAGGGGCAACTTTCCGTTGCCATTCAATGCGCTGCGATGCCGTTCAAACAAGGGGCAACTTTCCGTTGCCATGCAGCTCTTTTCAAGCAAGGGGCAATTATCCTTTGCATCTAAGGTTGTGTATCTCGAGAGTAAGTTACGTGCTCGTTGAGCACTGGCTGTTTGCCAAAACGGTTTTTGAAAATTTTTACTGAGGTTGACTAATTTCTCGAAAATTATTTCATTTTCCAAAACTAGACCATTTTCTTGGACCCAAAAAAAGGAAAATTTTCAGTGCTTATAGCCTGACTTGTATGATTTTAAATCAGAAAAGTTGAACAAGCATGTTAATCTAACTCTCATATTGGTCGAAATTGTTTTAGTAGAAAGCCAAAAACAAAAATGGTCAAAATAATGAACTACGGGCACAGTTGAGTCAGGTTTTCTGTCTTTTTCCCCTTTATCAACGCACTTACCAGAAAAGGCATCATACCTGCCGAAAAAGGGGACCACTGAAGCTAACCCCAAAAGGGCAGAAAGCTCTCACACCCTCCGAGCAACGAGGTATCAAGTCAAGCGCGAAGCACGAACTGGAATGGAGCAAGATATCCCACTTCCTCATCTGGACAGATCTGATCATGTCCAAACTCCCCAGCAGAGCATCGTCAACCGATGTCAGCTGCAGATTTGCTACACACCCAGTTATAGCACAGCCCCTCTGTGGGAGAAACTCACTGTTGTGAACAAGAAGAAGAATCTAGCGGAATGCTAGGGGCAAGACTCCGCAACTTTCTATTTATCTATCAACCACCCAGGGGAGGGATTAAAAATGAGGGATTGAAGAATAGAGAGATGTGCACTGAGAGAAAAAGTGAGAAAAATGGGGCTTCTTTTTCAAAAAACAGAGCCTGAGGGCCGAGTGATGTGAGAATCACAAATGAGGAAGGGCGGGAAACAATACCCGGAGAAACTGGCTCCTCGTGCACTGAGAGGTCTCTTGCCTTTGTAACACATCCGAGTGTTGTGTTTGTGTCTTTGTTTGTCTCGATTCTTGTTTTGAGTCATTTTGAGTGTCAACGGATGTGTTTAGGTTGTTTTATCTTTTGCTTTCCGTTGTTGAGTTGTTTTTGCTATAGTCAGTCGTAGGCTCAATACCTGGTCGAGAACTCATCTCTCAATTTCAAAAAATAAAATCATTTTGCGCTCCAACTGCCGTGTCATTCTCCACATCTGTGTAAAACGAGATTCGTTCTTTCGTAAAACCGCAGGGTTCAACCCAGG